CCCATTTTTATATTGGGTCTTTGAATTTTGGGGGCCTGATTTTTAAAAATTCCTTGTATCTTCTAGATAGAAGTCCTTTGTCCAAGGGACAGTTGGCTAAATTTTTTTCCCAATTCATAGGTTTTCTTTTTACTCGGTTGGTGATTTTTTTTGATGTGCAGAACTTTTCAATAAGGTGAGACCCCAGTTGTTGATTCTTTGAAGTATTTCCTGTGCAATTTGGTTTTTGTTCGTGAACTCTCTGCCTAACCCTATGTCTTCAAGGATTCTACATACTTTCTCCTCAAGTAGATTTAGGGTTTCTGTTTTAATATTTAGATCTCTGATCCATTTTGACTTTAGTGTATGGTGATAGACATGGGGTCTAGTTTTAGTGTTTGACATGTCAAAAGCCAGTTTTTCCAGCACCATTTAAAGAGGCTGTCTTTTTTCTAGTGAATATGTTTGGCTCTTTTGCCAGAGATGAGGTGACTGTGTTTGTAGTTGTATCTGCATCTTGTAATCTGTTCCACTGATCCTCAGGTCTGTTTTTTTGCCAGTGCCATGCTGATTTTTATCACAGTAGCTTTGTAGTATAATTTCAGGTCAGGGGTTGCGATGCTCCCTACCTTGCCTTTGTTGCCAGAATTGCTCTTGCTATTCTAGGTCTCTTCTGATTCCAAATAAATTTTAGGAAATACAGTAGAGGCATTGCGTCAGAACCTAGCCTACTGCCCAAGGAGATGGAACTGTGAGTGTGGAGAAACTGTGATAGCTAGACTTTGAAGGACAGTACCAGAGAAGAGTGTGCTGTACCGAGAAAAAAATACATGGGACCCCCTTGAGTATTCAGCAACATACCATTCATCCTGTGCTGAGCTGAGAACAGAGAAAGGAACAGTTTCTTTCACTTATATAGGGCCAAGAACAAAGCCTATTGCCAGCAACTGGCTGGAAGCAAATCTTAATTTGTGGGGTACTGAGTGGAATACTCTGGAAAGCGCTTCCTCAGTAGTGAGGAATAATCTACTGCTTTGGGTCTACATACCAAAGTCATAAAAAGCAAGACCTGAAAGGATCAGACTTTTCAAGTAAGCCAACAACATCTCTAAACAAAACTGAAGATTTACAGGATTATAAAAATATGCCCCATCCTACATGGGAAAGTACACAATGTCAGGCATCCAGCCAAAGGTTACTGTGTATGCAAAGAGGCAGAAAAACGAGTTACAAAAGAAACTTAAAATGGATATTTTAACTATTCTGTTTACATAAATGGTTATATCTACTATATATTCAGAAAGTTATGTAATAATATAGATGTAAAAATTCAAGTCAGACTTCTTGAAATAAAGTGAGTTGGAAGAATATCGTGCATATTAGACATTGCAGAAGTAAAAATTAGTGAACTTAGTGACATGGCATTAGAAACTGTCCCCTCAAAATTAAAAACATTAAGAATGAGAAGAGCATCAGTGGGTTGTATAACAACTTCAACAGCCTTACAGCATTTGAAATTGGAGTCCTCGAAGGCTTGGACAGAAAGGCTCAGAATGTGGCTCAGTGGTACAGCACCTGCCTAGCATGTGTGAGGCCTTAGGTTTGATTCCCAGTACTAGAGGGAATAAAGGCCAAACTTGATATAATCTATGTACTCACAGTTTCAAGAAGCTTTAAGTCCAAGCAGAAGAAACATGAAGAAAACTTCATCAAGGCACATTGTAATCACGTTGTGAAAAAATAGTGATAAAGAAAAATCTTGAAAGTAAAAATACAAGTTAGGTAAAAGGGAGCAAATGGGAGAATGACAGCAAGGAAATTAACAACTCTGGAACTTAAAACTTCTTATGATACATGAAATTGATGGGTTTAAAGTAATTTTACAGGAGATCTTTGGGTCATGGCAGTTCAGGAATCTGGTTTAAATTCTAAATTTTTGTTTAAAAACAAAAATTTGCTACCTAGGACTGACTGAGAATTTTAGTATATTTTCTGTTAGGATAAAATGTAAAGACTAAGTCTGTATCCTCTATGAGGTGAAACTATTTCGAAAAAAAAAATTGTAAGCATAAAAAAGCAAAGTCAATAAAATGGTACAGAAACAAATTTTAAAATAATGGTAGAAATCTCATTGGAAATAGAACTAGTATTTCTCATGAACACAGACATAAACAAGATTTTGGCATGTCAAATTTAACAACATATTAAATACATAATATATCATGGTGAAGTGAGTTTATCCAAGGTATGGACGGTTGGTTTAACGTTTGAAAATCAATAAAATAACTGAAAAACAAAAATCCTGTGACTGCTTCATTAAACACACAAAATCTCACATCTATTTCAGGTCAAAATTCTCAGCAAACAAAAGGAAATTTCTCACCTTAATAAAGAGCATTTATGAAAAGCTTACAGCTAATATTGTACTAAAAAACTAAATATGTTTCAAAATTCCCCATAAGATCTGGGAAAAGACAGGGTATCTATTCTCTTCACTTCTTTTTAACATTGTACTGGAGATTCTAGTCTGTACAGTCAGACAAGACAAAATGAAGACACTCAAACCTGAAAGGAAAAAGTAAAACTGTCCTTTTTTCAGAGCATGTAATATTCCATATAGAAAATCCTATGAAATTTACCAGAAAGTTACCAGAATTAGTAAGTGAATTGAGCAAACTTGCAGATATGGGATCGATGTGTTAGTTAGTTGTATACAAGCAGTGCACAATAAGAAATTGAAACCAAGAAAAAGTACTATTTATAATAGCATAAGGATAGGATATTTAGAGGTAAATCATGATAAAACATGAAAGACTTGTGCACTGAAAACTAATCATTGCTGAAAGAAGATCTAAGTAAATTTTTATGGTTCTGAAGACTTGATGTTGTTAATTCTCAAATTAATTCATAGATGCTTTTCAATTCTAATCAAAATTCCACCTTTTTTTTTTTTTGGTAGAAATCAACAAACTGTTTCTAAATTTCTTAGAATTATGAAAAAGGACCTAAAATTATGTAAACAAGCTTGAAAAAGAGCAAAGTTGAAAGCCTAATAGTACCTGACTTTTCAAGACTTATTATAAAGCTGTGGTAATCAAGAGTGTGATGCTGATATATTCATTGACATCCATGGAACAGAGTAGAGTTCACAGGATGGCAGTTGAGGACCCCATACACTGTGGACAGCTTTTTGATAGAGGTAAAAAGGCAATGTAGTGAGAAAGGATACATTTTATAATGAAAGGTGCAGGAACAATTTCTCTATTTGTATAAAAAAATCAAAATGTGGGAGAGCACTAAATTTAAAGTCTACAGTAACACAATGTTTAGACAGAAACATGAGAAAATCTTGTGACCTTAGGCTAGACTCTTTTTTTTTTTTTTTTTTTTTTTACGTACAACACCAAAAACAAAATCCATAAAATCCAATTTACTAATTGGTCTCAAAATTAAAGTTGTCTGCTCTTAGAAAGACATTAAGAGAATGAAAAGACCGTGAAATCTAATTAAAAGCTGGATGAAAATTTAAGTAGACATTGCACCAAATAAAGATGACAGAAATGACATGAAAATGTGCTCAGCCTTTGCCACTGTCTTCACATGCCCTCTTCCCTTTGTGTCTCTGGGTCCAGTCTCCCTTTTCATTCTCTCAAATGCATCAGTTGTTGCTTTTAGTAATGAAATTAGAGTGAGCCTGGCTTTTTTTTTTTTTTTTTTTTAGCACATACTTAACAAAGAGTCAGAACATTGCCTTAAAATGTGCCCTGAATACAAGGCATTCCTTGAGCTTGTGCTTTTGGTCTCCACATGATAAGCAAAACATGAAATTCATGGCTATGTCTAACTAAATCTGTTAGTTCCATCTTCTCTGCTTCTAGCCTCGTAAGTAAATCAGTGAAGCAGACCTTCACGTCTAGGTTCAAGGAGTGAGACAGAAAGCTGTGTTACTCTCTATTGCAGCTTTACCAGTCATAAAGTTGATATGCAGTCCCCATTTACCTCAGTGTCACACGTTTGTACCCTCATCTACAATTATAGCAGTAAGATATTATACTAAAAATGAAAAAATTATTCATGGAGGGCTTATAAGACCTAGCTAGTTATTGCAAAGATCAAGCATTAGAAGTTTCCTGTGTCCATAATATTGGCTAGTGGGGTTGTTCGTTTTTCTGTTTTTTAATGTGGTGCTGCAGTTGAAGCCAAGGCTTCAATGTTAGCCAAAGTGATCTACTACTGAGCTACATTCCCATCCCCGGATTCTAGTTTTTACATTCACTTTGATGACACCCTAATAGGTTTCAGATTGTTAGGTTTCCAGATATTATAGGTAAGAATTGTTGACACATTTTTAATTTCCAAGTTTGGAAAGCCATAGTTACTATTGGCTTGTAGTGCTCCTGAAGAAGCCGTGATCCTTATCTTTATATCCACAGCCATGTTACCTATTAAGAATAATTATTAAGCCTCCTGTAATTTCATAATATTTCTGAAATCTACTTAACAATTTCTCATACGAAGAACTGTAGACACTACAACTGCTAACATAATAGGAGTGCTGGTGTGTAAACACCCTTTCTATAGCCAGACAACATACTTCACTTATTTCCCTCAACATTTATTGCTAAGTGTGAATTAATTTCTTGTTCTACTATGAGCTCTGTAAATTGCCAACACGTGATTGATGATATGTGTGATTTTTAAAACAGTATCTTTGAAAAATTATGTAGTGGTTGGTTTTTGCCATCTGACAGCATTGTTGTTTTGTTCTTCATAAATAGTTTCTTTAAAAACTTTTATTTCAGGAGGTCTAGACATGCATCTTACTGGGTTTTCTTGTGCTCTGGCCTGGAACACATTGTTTTTGTGTTTTAGATCATTTGAAAGACTTAAGGTTTATTTCTGTGATGTGTTTTTCATCAGGCTGCTCAAAATAGGTCATTGCTTTCTCTCTGCATTCATATGAGCTCATATAATCTTTTTGAATTCTAACTGAAGCTCATTTCTCCCCTTATTATTTTCAGATACTTGTACCTGCTGTTCTCCGGTGATGACCTTTTACCTTTAGACCACTGGGTGTTTAACACAGAGGCTCACCCTCTGCCTGTATTACATTTAGCCAACACCACACTTTCAGGTAATCCTGCTGTTCGATGAAAGCAGCTCTAGAAGGACCATTCTTACCTGTGTTTTGTTTACATGGACTACTACAGAAACTAGTCTGGAGAGGAGTCTTTGAAAACCTGGACCTCTAAGTCAACATGACAGGGTGAAACTCTTCCTCTCAAGACTTTCCAACATGTAAATATACCAACTTTGAAATTATTCCATTTTATACCTGACCAAAACATGTTCTGGTACATATAGGACAGAGACCTGATGTACTTTGATTTGTAATGAGATGGTCACTTGAGAAACAATGCCCATTACTTCTATATTATTAGAGCAAGCCAAGAACATAGAACACCCTCCAGGAGTTAGAGATGGCCTTTGGAACGAATTACATATTATTTGTTTTCCTCCCACGGTGGAGCAGCTTTCAAATCAAATATTTACATGTTGTTTATCCCTTTTTTCTCCATTTTAATAATGGAATAAGCTAAGATATACAAGAGCAAAAGAAGAGCGTAACTGTATCAGTAAAAAGAAGACTCAAAAAGGAACAGAAGTACCGAACCCTGTCTGAATTTCCATGTTCCCCATTGGATGACTGGACTGGCGACCATTTCAGTCCCAATCTATTTCATTGAAATTTCTTGGTTGAATTTAATTCACTGGGGGCATGATCTCACAAAGAATACTCTTAAAGTCTTTCTGTCCACATGGTACCATTGAAACTGCTATTTATCATCACCAGTGCTTAGGAGCCTAATAGGTTTGGGATTTTGTGCATGTAATTCAGTATGGTGTAGGTAGCATGATGAAAAGTGGGGAAAATGCCATTTTGTTGCCTTGAAACTCGTTCTTTCTTAGTAAAATCCTTGGTTTTGTTGGTAAGAGATTATTTTCCTAATCTAACAAGTCTATTAAGTAAATTTTATTTCATTAAAAAGTTGAGTCATTCAACGTACAACTTTGACTTGACCAAATTTACTATTCTGTTATGCAACTTTGAATTTGCAATGGTAAATTGAATTACTTTCATAATTTATTAAAGCAAAAACAAAATAGTGAAACTTCCTTAAACATTTTATCTGGAATCTTATCGGATGAATGAGCTATTCACAAGTATGTTTTTTTAGTTTATCTAAAAATATTTATAGAAATGCAAAGAATTAGGCAGAATAGCTTCAAAATAATTTTCAGTGATAATTGTAATTAATTTATTACCCTAAAATTAGAATTTATCTAAAGTACTTTCTCCTACCCTCAGTAGGTTTAGCTTTGATACTTCTTTTTAAAGATATTACTATTTATTGTTTTGGCTGGAAGATCTTAAATTTTATCAAGAACTACAATGTAAGGTAAATAGTAATGCTTATAAATTTTCTGTTCCTTCAATTTCTGCGACAGTGCAGGTACTTTTTTCTCTTTTCATTTAAAACAGACCTCTTCCATTGATATTAATAAGAGTTGAAAAAATATAGTTAAATATTTACTCTAAATTTGAATATTTCATGAAACAAATTTGTACAAGAAGTTTACTTTGGAATGCTAAAGGCTTATTTATTTATTTGGTAGTTTTTAATCCTCTGTTAGCATGTAGTAGATTTAAATTGGGAAAGAATTTAACAAATTAAACATTTTCTAAGGATGATCATCTTACACTACTAATCATCATACAATCCTCACAATTCAACCAATGATCCATAAATAATAGCCACCTCAAAATTGTTCATTAGGGGGGCTGGGGATTTAGCTCAGCGGCAAAGCACCTGCCTGGCAAGTGCAAGGTCGTGAGTTCGGTTCCCGGTACCGGAGAAAAACAAACAAACAAACAAACAAACAAAAAAAAAAAAATTGTTCATTAGACACAGAAAATAAGGATGTTAAGCCAGTTGTATTAAGTCTTAAGAAGGTTAAGTTTTAGCACCTATTTTGAAATTGTAAGGTCTTTTGCTACTTGAAAATTTCAAATTTTGAGAAAGGTGGTAGACTGTCACTTTAGAAAAGAAAGGGAAAGGTATTTGGTTCTCAGAAAAATTCAGTCTTCTTTCTAAGTCCATTATGAATCACTGAAAACAGATAAGTGAAAAACTTGAGTTGACAGATAACCCAGAGCTGCCTTGCAGATGGCAACAAACTCTTTCACACCTCGTTTAGAAGAATGCAGAGTAAATGGGCCATCTTGGCTCCCCAGTAACTCCTCAAGAGTCCGGGGTGTGGTGGTGCACACCTGTAATCCCAGCATTGGGGGCTGAAGCAGGAGGATCTTCGCGAGTTCAAGACCAGCCTGGGCTACAAAGTGAGCTCAAGGCCAGCCTGAACTGCATACTGAGACCCTGTCTTTAAAAAAAAAAAAAAAAAAAAAGAGTCAGAACCCTCACTTCCAAAGTGGTCTGTATTACCAGATGACGGACGTTAAGAAAAGGTAGGGAAGTGTACAAGCAGGGCCAGTCTCATACAAAGAAAGATTTGAGGGGACTATGGAAGGGTCCTTCACCAATTTCTGTCTTTTGTGTGACAGTTAAAACTAGAGCTTATAGCAGTGCTTTTTCTTCTCTCAATACCAAAGGCAGTGAAAGTCAGATACGGATAACTTGCTGTTGTCATGTCTTATGTTTGTTGTAGGTTGTTAAAGTAACTTCCTCCAAGATCAGTCCTCACCCATATTTTGTGTATTTTCCAAAACTATCTTTTTTTCTGTCCTTCACAGCCTCTTGCATTTTTAGACCTTGTTACTCAGGTTCATTATTCCTTGCATTTATTTATAAGACCTGTGAAAAAACCCAGAAATACTCTTTTCTAGGTGCCTCCTTAAAGAGCTGACATCTCACCATGTGCCTGTGGCACAGTTATGCAGAGTAGATTAATCAGTTGATACGTAAAAGAAAAAATAAGAATGTTGCACACCCCATTACCTTGTACATTTGTCTTTATTTTAGAGTCACATTTTTGGGGTTCACACCATTCTTTAAAAAATGTTTAACCAGAATGAAACTCAACTAGTGTGAAGTTGTTAAAACCAAGTGAATAGGCCCATAACCAAAAAGAAGTTCCAGTGCAGAGAAATAAGTACCCAGTCAGGTGGTTCTTACGTTTAGGTAGCTTGTACATCTTAATGTCTCCCTAACACCAACTTACTCCTGTCTTTGAGCAGTTGTTTATGTGGAGAAGTAAAACCTGATATTGAAAGAGTGCATTTTTTATGGAATATTAACCTTGATTTTCTATGATGTCACCTAGGGCAACCCAGGGCTTTACTTGGTAGATGTTAACCAAGCAGTTTGAAATTTTGATCATCAACCTCTCACATTCTCCACTCTACATTGCCAAAGTCTTTGTCACAACTCCAAATTTGTTGATACAAGATTGTGCTTGCCATTCTTATTATAATGTAGTTTCTCCTTAAGCTTGAATTTCTTTGAATGAATGCATGAGTAAGTGAGAGAATGAGTGAACACATTTATGGAGTACCAAGTAAGTGCCAAGCATTGTGCCTGGCACCTTCAAGCATTAGAATATTTTATGTAATTTGAATGACATTTTCTGTATGAGAGTAATTCATACCATTATAAATGTTTTCCAATGTGAATTATATTACAAAATCCTTAATTTTATATTTCATTTAAATTAATGAGGAAAACGTTTATATTTTAAACAGTGTTACTATATAATACTAACAACCACAATTGTAGTTAATAACTAAAATCTCTTGGAAAAGATCAAAATATTTGATTCTGATGCAACTTTGACTAAAGTTTAGGAAGAAAAACATTCTTATTTTGGTATATCACTTTATGTATAATTAAAATCAATGTTTTATAGAAAGGCTGGTTATTTTATACTCAAGCTTTTGTCAATTCTTGGGTAAAATCTGCAATATAAATTTCTTTGCTCTGGTATGCTTCCTACTATTGGTAGAACCCATATTTCTTAAAGATAAAGAAAAACACAGTAAACTATTTCTAAGTTTCAAACCATAGTTCCTGGTAATTGTTTAGCCTCAATTTGGCTAGCTTGTGTCTTGTCCACTCTTTATATAGATATACACATAAATATAATATACACAGACTTATAGTACTGTTAGTTCAGAAACACAGTAACTGATTTTGATCTACACAGATTATATGCAAAATATTTAAGCAACCACATATGATAGAGATATTTTAATCCACTTACCTTGGTTCAAGAACATTGGTAAAGATGGTTTTTTGTTACTTTAACTTATTTACATCATGGTGGAATATTCTTTTTGATCTGTAGACACTCAGCTTTTTCTGCAAAGGACAAGATAATAAATTTATGAGCCGTAGAGTTTCTCTTATTACTCAGTTCTATGGTTGAAGTATGAAAGCAGCTATAGATAACAGGTAAATGAACACATATATCTGCATTCCAATAATACTTTATTTATAAAAACAAGTGGAAGGCTGGGGATGGCCCACAGGTCATAGTTGCTGACAAGGTTCCATATTAATTTGTATAAGACCCTTTAACCTTTGGTCTGCATCTTTTTTATGTGTCCTAATTTACAAAATTTATTCTTAAAGCAAAAAGTATATGTGTTAAATTGCTTGTATTTGTGTTACCTAAAGCTGTGTGTTTTGTTGTGTAGAAAATACATGTACTCCTGTGGACTTTGTTCAGGTTTCAGAATAATATGACTATCATGAAAGGGACAGAATTGAGTGGATATGCTATCAGACATTATCTTCAGCTTACTATTTGATTCCATAATTCTAAATTTTCCATGTAGAAAAGGTCTGGCGTCAAAATACTATTTTGTCTCCAAATTATACCTGCTCACTGACCCTTGGTTTGGGACTCTGGATTGCTGGAGCTGCAGAAAGTTATCCAGTTTGGTTCCCTTTGAGCTCTAAGACAAGGATATCATGGAATTCCTGATCTTGGTGCTATTGAAAACAAACCTTTTGGAAAATTTTAGGCAACAGAACATGTGTTAGGTGCTTCATTTGCCATTTGGCAGCCACCATTAGACTGCAAAAGGTTACAGCCTCCGTTAGCTCTGGAACAGCCTGATTCTGAGGAATACAGTAAAAAGATATTTCTCAAAGGAAAACTCCTGTCCTCTTTCCTTGCATAATTCTCTACAGACCTTTACAAGTCAGTAACATTATTCAGAAGGTAAATGTGCATCATTTGCAGTTAAAGCACCTCTCAAACTCAACACTGTGCTGCTTCTATTTAACAGCTAATCCATTTCAAAATTGATTTGTGCCCAGTGTTTGCAGAACTCACATAATTGCTCACAAAATTATACAACAGCATATTAGCTGGCATATACATTGCAGTGTACCAGTCATTCTGACAGATAAGTAATAGATTTTTCACTAAGAGCTTTATCAAATGTTTCAGTTTATTGGAAATTCTAGTGGAAGGGAAGCCTGCATAAATGATAGAGCCAGAGATATCTTTTCCACATCACAGAGGAGCTGCCTTTCTAAGTTTGTACCTCTTTTAAGGTTAGCTCAGTGTGAATATAAGTTTTGGTACTCAAATATACCAATGTTAATTGTATTACATTACAGACTTTAAAATAGTTGCAGATATTTTGAAGCTATTTGAATGCTGCAGAACTCTGCAAATTGCATACCAGAGAACTTCCTGAAGATAAGCTCAGCTTTGTTGGGAAAATTATTTTTTTAGAAAATTTAGAGATTAGTTTTTCTTTGATGAATAAAGCTTCCCCAATTTTAATTACTGAATTGGGAATTGAAATGCCATTCTTTATTCTCATTGTTCTTAAGTTCACTGGTAAAGTCTTTCCTTGAAGTACTGAGGGTAAGTATAACCACCTAAATTGGAACCCACTGGCTGCTCCTGAACTGGTTTCCAGTCATGTCCTCCATAATGTGATTTTTACAGATCAAAGGTAATATTGTATATTGAAGATCAAATAAAGATGTTCTTTAAGTGAAAAGCCTTTGTTTATCTTTCATTTTTACCTACTGGTGACAATTTACTGTCTTCCTGTATACAGAAGAGCAGTTTTGGCAGTTACCATAACTGCCAGTCTTCAGTCTCATTCAGAGTATTCCTTTGGTCCAGCCTG